TAGTGCTGCCTTCAGCCCTGTCATCCTCCATGTGACCTTGGTTCCATCTCTCTCTGTCACTTCAGTCCCACATCTGTCCAAGGAGCAGGCACCGATGCCCTAGGAAGAGTGACATCCGTGGTCTCCCTGAGTCCAGCTTGGACAGGCAGGAGCCTCCTTCCTAGATGTTACGATGTACACTGGCCATCAGGATGCCTGGGTGGGGCCTGTCTGACCCCAGATGAGCCCTGTTTGGGAGACCAGTCACCCTTGGGGCACTGGATGCTTTGGGATACTGGTTGCCTTTGGGGTACTGATAGCTTTTGGTTTTGGGTTCACACTAGAGGCCAGCGTCTCCCCAGGCCACCCTTTCACATCGGCCCTTGGAGAAGTGCTGTGTGGACCATGCCGTGGAGTGGCCAGGGCAGAGCCACCCTGCATGGAACATTCAGATGAATGGGTAGATGGGCGCAGTGCTGTCGGGAGTGGATCAGTGTTAAAGGAGCTGATGTGAGCGCAGTGTGGCCACGCTTGGGACGGGCCTGCCGAGATCCCACACGGCAGATCTCCAAGCATCTCACAGCACAAGGAAGGCCGCCAGCAGGGCCCAATGTTGTGGGGTGAAGGGTGGCACAGTGGCCAGACAGCCTGGTTAGGGAGGGGAATGAGGACTCTCGGGCTGGCCCCTGTCCCACGCTTCCACCAGGAGCTCTCCACTCTTGGACAAGCCCGTCGGCAGTTGTCTTCCTGCTGAGGGCCTCGCATCACCTCTGGAGGTAGGCTGGCACTGGGCCCTGGAGAGTTCAGATCCAGTATAACGGGGTTGGATTAGAGTGGGGTGGCTTTTTCCTTGGTCCAAGAGGGCAGCTTTCTCTGAGGGACTCCTCCTTGGGCCCAGAGAGGTTCCAGGTCTGTGCCACAGCTTGGAGCTCTCTGTGCCCTGGAAGCCAGGAGCTCACAGCAGTAGTATGCCTGGGAGAAGCATGTGGCTTTAGCCCTGGGGTAAGTGTGGTCCTGGCCCTGCACCTCACTCCTGATCACTGCCTGCCTTTCTGCTCAGGCACAGGTCACTTTTGGCTTTCAGAATTCTAACTTCTAATCAGCTCCAGGGATGTGTTTTTAAAGAAGGAGTGCATTCTTCTATATTTCCTCCTTTCTGCTAGCTGGAAGAGAAATGTGATGCCTGGAGCTTGGGCCGCTCTTTTGGAGTCATGTGAGTAGAAGACTTGTGCTAAGAATGGCAGAACAGAAAGAGGGAAATGATTGGCTCTCTGATAACTTTAATATTGCCCCACCATATTGGATGCTTATCTTCAGTTTTCTTTAATATGAGAGAAAAATAAACTGTTGTCCTGCATAATAATGTTAACTGGGACTTTCTGCTAGTTGCAGTCAAATCTAGCACTGATTAGTGCAGGTGCAAGAAGGTGTTTTAGTCCTCCCTTTGCAAAAGAGGCTGTTCCATGGTTGGTTTGACAATCTGACCAATGTCTCTGATCTTCTCAGTCTTTATACTTCATGGTCACAAGAAGGCTTCAACAGCTCCAGACATCACATCTTCACATGGCACCATTCCAAGCAGAGCTTTCAAATGGTCTGGGGAAGGTGAAAATGCTCTCCTCCCACATTTGTTCTTTAATATGGGAGGGAAACCCTCTTGGGAAGCTCTGAGATGATGTCTCTGAGGACCTGGTTGGCTAGAACTCTAGCTCAAGGAAGTTTAAGGTAATGTGTCTTGGATCACATTATTCCCTATAGTGAGATCAATGAAAAGGAGTAGGAGTTCTCTTGTCCAGGGTGTGGCTTGGGCCACTTGTGGGTGCTGATTTTGAGCCAAGGGCAGTGGCTGGCACTGAGTAGTGTCCAAAAGTCTGTGCATTCTGATTGGCTTTGCTCATTGCTGGGGCCCTGTCCTGACCCATCACCTGGCCCAGGGTGCACATCCTCCATACTCATTTGTTGAGTGAATGAATGATGGTTTGGCGGCAAGAAGAGTGGTGGTCCATTGGGCCAGCTTTGGGGCACAGGGATGGCTGCATGGTCCGCTGGGTCGCTGCCTCTGTCAGAGATTCCTGAGATCTGATCCCTTCTCCTGCCTGGCCTGGCTCTGTGTGGACCAGCCATCCACTGGTGCGCAGGGAGGAGGAGCCAACAGCACAGCCCGGCTCTCATCTGGCCACCAGCTTCGGCCCCAGATGCAGCATCCCCAGGAGACGCAGTGCCATCCTTAGGGGGCCCTGTCCTGTTTTGGGGAGCTGTCCCGGCCCGGTGGTATGCATTTCTGTTGTAAACACAGCCCATCTGGGAGAATTCCAGGTGCCTCGATCCGCACGCTCCGAAACTTAAAGCTCAGAAGACTTTGAAATGCAAATATTTTGAAGGAAACATAAGGTAAACATGAGTGCTTATTTCCCCCTGATGAAAACAATATGCTGTTTGCTCTGAAATGTAAATAGTGCCTAGATCGCTTTTAAAGAAAGCCACGTGTCATATTTTTAGATCCAGGGTTCCTAAAAATATGAGCATCTGGCTGCTTCCCTGCCCGGTCGAATCCGTGCTCCTCTTTTCTCCCGACCTCCCTTCTTCCAAGCTTTCTGCCTCCTGCCATAAATATCCCTAAGCCACGCCCTGCCCTTCGCACTCACCCCCTCCTTAGCCGGCTTCTCATTTTCCCAATGCTCTCTGGGAGCTCTTTTTGGATAGAATTGGGGGGAAAAAAATCTGTAGCCAAAGGCATTTCACTGACTTGAAAGAGATTTTATGGTGCATTGAGTTCTAATCAACTTTAATAAGTATTTAATGCAGGAAGAAGCCTTGGTCCCCAGCCCTGAGGCCGGCCAAGCTTGCTGGAGGCCCCCTGTCGGCCACAAGAGAGAAGGCTGCCGCTGGGGCCCGGAGATTTGGGTGGGCGGAGAGTGACAGCTGCAGAGAAACGAATAATTAGTGATTTCAACCTCTGATAATGAGTAGCTACGTGATCCTTCTTGGAGCCATTAGGAACATCTATCTTGTTAATGATCCCGCCCGACAGCCGCGGGCCCCTGCACCCGCTCCTCTCTGACGGGGGCTCCTGCTCCTCATGCGTGTGCCAAGGAGCAGAGATGGAAGTGGTCATTTGTCTTCCTCCTGAGGAGCAGGGCTTGGGCTTCCTGGACCTGCCGCGCCCTCGCCACACCTTGTGCCATTCACACGGGCCACTCTTGCAGCCTGAAAAGGTGATACCATTTATTTAGGGCCCCCACACAGGGCCACTCCTGTCCCCACGTAGCACCCTGCCACTCCCATCCCTGCTGCTCACCTGGGACACAGACCACAGGACAGATGCTGCTAAGGGATTCTGGGTTCCATCCAGGTTCCCACAGCTCCCACCGTGAGGCAGGCTGGAGCGCCTGTCTTCCGGGTGGTTTCCCTACTGCCCCATGTCATCATGTGGAACAAATTCCAAGAAACAGAAACCTGTCCTGGCTGGGTTTTCTCCAAGGCAGTGTCCATGCCAGGAGCTGCAGGCTCACTGCCTACTGGCTGAACCTGGCTCACAGAGACAGTTCGGTTTGACCTGCATGTGTCTTAGTAGCTGGGAACTATCCACAGATCGACTGAAAAGTTACGGGACTTGGATACACTAGATTGGCAGTTCCACAGGGTTAGATCTCAGGGGCATCTGTTTTTTAAAGATGGTTCGTCACAGGCCCTGCCACTCCCTATTGTCCGAGACTTGCTGTGCTCATTTGTATTATCCCTGTGCTCCCATAAATGTTGGAGTTTGAGGGAATCACTTAGATCCATGAGTTCTACAAACTGTATTTTAGCAGCAGATCCCTTTTCTCAAAGCATAAAATACTTAGGAGTGTCTCGGGTGAGTTTGGCACAGGCCTGCCATGTGGTCTTAGAGCCTCAGAGTCCATCTGCTTGGTCAGTTTGCCTTGGAAGTTAGTGGAGGCCCCAGGGCCTCACACAATACAATTTGCAGATGGATTTTTAAAAAAATTACCCACAAACAGTGGCCCCATCCCAAGGACGCATGGGCCATTGCAGATTCCTCGCTGGAACCAACACCTTTTAGCTCCAGATTGGTAGGGCTTGAGAAGCCCATTAGTCCATGGTTTTCCAGAGGGCAGGACAATCTGGGCAGGACACCTGCCTGTTCATGGTCATAGGCAGAGTGGTATCTGAGTCAGTGCTCTGACCCATCGTGGGGTTTGCTGGTATGGGACTGAGACATATGATAGAGTAAGACATGCATAGCAGATTAGAAAAGCGTGGTTCTCGGTGTGTCTGTGGGTACTTGACATATAGGCCAACAAAGTCAGGGAGGAAGACCCACTGTGGGTGTGGCTGGCGCCAGCCAATAGGCTTGCAGCCTGGATGGAAAAAAAGGGAAAGGACGTGGGTGTGTGCCCATGTCGAAGAGCTCCAGTCTCCTTGAATGAGGAGCGTGTCCTTTGCTGCTGTCTCCTCTGGACGTTGCTCTCCAGCTCTCAGGTTTCTTCAGCCTTCCAATGTAAACTCCCACCAGGGACTCTCCTGGATGTTTCCAGGTGACCTGCCTTGGCTTGAGGCTGCATTCATCATCCTTTTCTGTGGCTTCCATCTTTTTGGGCCCAGCAGATCCTGGTCCCCCAGCTCTCCAGGGTGCACACAGCCATTGAGGACTCTGATGACTCTGACCCTGTAACCCTACCTAATCCTCTAGCATGATTATACATATATTTCCTGTCCATCTTGCTCCCCTAGAGAACCCTAACCAATTCATTGTCTCTCCAAACACGCATGTGGTCACTGCTGTTTGCCCACTGTGCCAACCCCTCGGTCCCAGCTCAGGCAAACTCTTCATTTCCTATGCTGACCTCGAGATTCGGAGGACAAATACCTTCTTCTTACCCAGTAAAAACCTGATTTCACCCAGATCTGAAGCTTCTTTAAAATGCTCTAAATAAATGCAGAGCATCTTCTTGGCATAGTTACTGTCTTAGTTACTGTCTTTTTACTCATTGCTGAGACAAAATACCTGATGCCCAAAGTTGGGGAAGGAAAGGTTTATTTCTTACAGTTCTTGGAGATTTCAATCCATTCTCAGTTGGCTTCAAGGCAGGGTGGCATGGTGGGGCCACAGTTCATGGCAGCTGCAAACAGCAAGGGTGAACCAGTGAGAGAGAGAGAGAGAGAGAGAGAGAGAGAGAGAGAGAGACCTTCTTCCCACCCTTACATCATATCCTGGCTCCACCCCTGGGTGGGTAAAACACACACCACCAATCCAAGTGCTAGACAATGAACCAATCACAAATGCTAGATTCAGTCCAGTCCATAATTCATGAGGTTTGGGGGCCACTGACATTAACCATGACAGTCATGTAACCAGAATCAGTAATTTAAGTGTTTTATGGGAAATGTGCTCACAAAAGCATTGGAGATGGGGGAGAATGCCATGTTTTACCCAAAGCTTCAAAATAAGATAAGGTGCTGGAAAAGAGTCTGCGGGTTACTGTGCTGCTTTGGATAACACCTTGTGTTGCTGTGGGTTGGTCATTAATTTGTTTTTTGCAAAGCATGAGACAATAAATGGCTTAGCTTGGGCAAGTCACACAGTTTCTGTCACAATTACTCAGTTCCACTATTGTACTTTGAAAGCAGCCTTAGATACTATGTAAAGGAATAGGTATGGCTATATTCCAATAAAACTTTATTTAAAAAAACAGCCATGGGGTGGATATGGCCATCCTCATGGGTTCTGGATCTGGGTTTAGGTGGGTGCTTGGCTTTGTCCTTCCTGAGTGTCCATATTTGGAAGTAGCATGTGGGGTGACCCTGGAACCTTCCAACCCTGGCTCTTGACTGAGTCTCACATTGTAATGGAATCTGGTCTATTTCCCCTGACTTAAGATGAACTTCTGTCTATCCAGTACAAGTCTGGGGGCTCCTACACCCCTTGAGTTGGTTTGGGAATTTATTAGAGTGTCTCACAGCACTCAAGAGAAAACTGACTTATGGCTGTTGTCTTATTATAAATGACATGTGTGATCAGCAGGAAGAAGATGCACACAGAGCAGGGCCTGGAGACAGGAAGGGATGGAGTGGCAGGGCTTACAGATCCCTCCCCATGGGCCTTGAGGTGCAGCACCCTCCCAGCAGCTGGGACCCTCCCCAGCCTTATCATTTCAGAGTTTTAGCTGACGTTTCTTTGGGAGGTTATGATTGATGGAATCATCGGCTGTGTGATTGAATTCAATATCCAGCTCCACTTCTTCCCCAAGGGCTGGGGGGGGGGGGTGAAAGTTGCAGCCCCTAATCATGTGCACGATCTTTACAGTGTGACCAATTTTTCCGTTGAATCTGTCTTAAGAGCCTACCATGAATCACCTCCTTGGCAGAAAGTCAGACTAAGAGGTGCTTATTATGACTAACAAAAGACTTCCTTATCACTCAGGAAATTCTAAATGTTTTTGAACCTCTGTGCCAGGAACCAGGGACAAAGACCCCATACAATTTTTATTATACAGTATTACAGTGTGAAAATGGGTTATATGTGTGTCATTTTCCAGCTCCAGTTGACTGGTCATGTCTACTTAGAAGGCTGGGCTGAGGATTCCGAGGTTGAGTCTAAGTTTGCTGGAAGAGATTGCCGTGATCAATTGGTGATGTCTGTTGTGGACAGGCTTTAGCACCATATGCAAACTGGATTGGCCAGTCCTAAAGAAGAGAAATCTCTGTATATCTGGATGGCTGTTTTCCACATGGTATCTTTTTATCTTTCTGACTTTTGCTCTCTGACCTGTGCTCATGCTACGTAAATTCTGCTCACTTTATCTGGGACATCACTCTTTTTAAACATCTTCCTTCCTCTAGATATGTTTACCATCCTTGTTCCCACCACTAGGTTCCCATAGGTGCTGCCACATTTTTCTGGGACTCTGCTCTCTTAGTCTTGGCTAGCTCACCTGGAGATGGCCACAAGCCCTTGCTCAAGGTTATGACACCTTTACTCACGTGGCTGTAGATGATTGGTTCTGCATTGGGCACGCCTCCAACCTGGGTCTATCTCAAGCAAATGTTCTATACTTGTGCCTTGCTTAGAGCTGGTTGCAGGGAGAGAGGATGGAGCCATAAAGAGAGAAACAGACGAGAGAGAGGGAGAAATTTCCTGTTGTTCTGAGGCCCAACCATTTCCTGCTTTCCTGGGTTTCATCATCCTACTCCCTTCTGGATTCTGTGAGTGAACAGAGCCCCTTTTGGCCCCAGCAGGTTGGAGTTTGGTTTCTATCACTGGCAACGTGAGTTCTGCCTGACATGTGGCCCATGAACAAGCATTTGTCTTTCTTTCCTATCCGAGCTATTTACGGCACCTGTCCATTGGATGTGGCACTACTCAGGACTCAGGATCCATCTGGAGTGGATGGGTTTGCATAAGCTTAGCACAGCCTCTTCAGGAACTGAAGGGATACTGCTCTCTGCCCCAGCGTTATCAGCCTCTTGTGCCTGGCCTTGGACTTGCGGCTTTATAGCTAATGTTAACATCTGTCCATGAGGGTACCTGGGAAGTCCTGCCCATGTGAGCTGGATGGAGAGGCAATGCATGCTTGCTCCTTTTTAAAAGCCATGGGAGGGGTGGCTCCTGTCTCAGACACATCCTGTCCTAGCATCCTGGTTTCAGCCCATGGGATTCTCTTTCCTGCTCACTCCTCTGCCTCTCTGCTCCTCTGTGCCCCATCCCCAGAAGGAGGCCCAGGACCTCAAAGCCTAAGTCACGCTCCTCCCTCCACTGAGCTGTGTCCTGCCTCTGGCCGAAGCCAAGCGTGCAGGTGTCCAGCTTGTCTGTCCCCAGGCCCCTGCAGACATGTAACCTCCTGCCTGGTCCTCACTGTCTTAGATGCACTCAGTAAACATTTGCTGAATGCCTGGGAAATGAGAATCAACAGTTAGCAGATGCACTTATTTTGCTCTGGTCTCTGCAAGATGGCTTGCTTTTGAAGAACTTGGGAAGTCAGAGGGAGGTGATGCCTTGGAAACCAGAGCTGCAGAGTAGATAGAGGCTCAGGGCTTTGTAGGCACACAAAGGAGGGCTCCCAGAAGAGGTGACATTGGAACAGGCTTCAGAGGGTGTGACCAGAAAAGTGCACATGGTTTAGTTCTCAGGGTGCTTTCCTGACTACAGATGACGACAAGAATAATCCCAAACCCAGGCAGTGTGTTGATAACAGCTCTGCCATAACACCAGGCTCAGGTTCCTTCTCTTTCTGCTGTGCATTTCATCCCACAGGAAAGAGATGGCGGTGGGCCACACTGGGCAGTGGGGAGAGAAGAAGCATCACTCTCCCAAGCAGGGACTACAATAGGACTGGGCCTGTTTGGAAAAGAACCTGCCCCGGGTACAAGAAGTCACCATGGCCATCCCATTTTCATTGGCTTAGATGCATAGAACCCATCCTGAGAAGGACACTGCTTCCCCTGAGACACTGAGTTGTATGGACGATGAGATGGACACACGGACCAGGTCTGCTGACCAGAGTGGACAATAACAAGTGTCTACACCAATGACAAGAAGGAACACAGAAAGGCATGACTGGCCAAGGGAACAGTCTGTTATGGTTTAGTGTCAGGAAGGGTCCTTGCATGTTTGCAGATGGTGAGAATCAAGTGGGGCCACTCCTGAAAGAGGGGCGAGGGGCAGGTGTCCAAAGGGCAAGGTACAGAATACCATGCTGAGGAATGGGCTCTGGTCAGTACTGTAGGTGTCAGTTGCCCAGACTGTTTGCCCCTTTCTGGACTCACTGGGTGACACAATCCTCAGAATTCCCATCTGCCATGGACTGGCTTCTGTGGGGTTTGGCCAGATGGATTTCCCAGAATTCCCTTCTCTGTGGATTCTGAGTCAGGATTGGCTGAAGGTGGACTTGTGTGGACATTGAAGGCAGAAGCAAGAACAGTTCATCATCCTCAAAAGGTCACAGTGGTCAGAATCCACAGGTGCCCAGGAGGTGCCAAAGGCCAGTTCATCTTCCTGACTGCTGGCCTCATGTACCATCCTGGCTGGCAATCCTGAACCACCCACTAGATGCCGGTGAACAAATACCTTAGAGACAGCAGCCTCCATGGGACACTTCTTAGGCTCCCTGCCCAGCTGCCTGTTCACTGCAGCCCCCTCCGGTCTTGCACCTGCAGTCTGCATAAGCTAAAAGCCTGGCTCTTTTAGGGAGGTGGGTCCGCTTATCACCTGTGGGAGCATCCTTGGTCGAGAGCATTAATAACTCTCAGGGGCCTAATGTGGCAGCACGAACTGCTGGGTTGAAACCCAGCATCTCAGCCCTGTGGTTCAAACTCAGTGAGCTTTCCACCTGCCTGGCTCCTCCCCCTTCTCTTTGAGGTGGGGGCTGAGACCGGGACGCTTTACCAGGGTGATTGGAGGAGCTGGGGAGACAGCGTGCTTGGGCAGTGCTGGAACATAGTAGGTACGACCTGAGCTCTGGCTGCTGTCAATGTGGCTGCTATCGTCTGTGAGCTGTGTTCCAGGCTCCAGCCCAGGTGGGCACACAGGTGTTAATTCACTTACTCTTCCCACAATCCTTGGAGAGCGATGCTACTATTAACCCCATTTACACAGTCACAGAGAGGCTATTAGGTTGGAACATATGAAATTGCTAGTTTTGTAGGTCAGACGGAGTTCTGAGACACCAATTGCACGCAGCTCACAGCTAGCATGACTGCGGGTCTCAAAGCTGAGCAGTGTGCCTGAGCCTGCAGCCTGCGCATTTACTGGGGTCCCCACTGGGTGCTGGACAGACAGGGCCTCCTCCATCATGGGATTGTTTGTTCAGCAATCATTGTTCATGCAGGGGAGCCGGGGTTCTGAGGCAGAAGGATCGACTGGGCCATGTGAGGCGTCTTTGTCCTACACTTTTGCTCACTTCTCAGCATCAGGCAGAGACATCACCTCCTCTGTGAAGCCTTCCTGGCTTCCCCAGCCACAAGAGACAACCTATGAAAGAGCTCAGAGGGAGAAGGCCCAGGGGACTTCTAGGGGACTCTGCGGACTGCTGTGTGGCTGGAGTGTCAGAGGCACTTGTGGACAGAAGCTGGAAGGACCCTGCATCTGAAAAAAAGCTTACTTCACAGCAAAATGGGCTCATGGGGGTGCGTGCCTCCTCCAAGGCCACACAGACTAGGAAATGTTTCACACCTGGCTCGCTGGGTGCCGTTTCTGCCTGGATGTTGGTGTTTTTGCTTACTTGTATTAAGGTAAAAATTAGAAGAACATGAGGAGTGTGTGCAAACTTCACTGTTGTCAAGGGCACGACAGACTTTGCTGAACTGGATGATAAATGTTTTCTGCATTTTCTTCTTGAGTTTCGGAAAATCAGCCACAACAAAGAAATCAAGCCCTGGTCTGCAGCCTTTGTCCTTGGCCACAGTGACGTCACCAAATGCAGCTCTTGGAAGGGGTGCCCAGTAGCCTGTACAGTACATTTCCACCATGAAGACACAATGGGCGGGGTCCACCCCAGTGCACAGAGAACAATGGGACACCGGGAGAGAATTGGGAAGTGATGACTTTGGAGTATTTATTGCTTTTGTTTTCGGTACAATTTAATTGTGAATTTATGTAATTTAATTCTTTAACAATGGCCGTATTTAATGCTCAGCTTGTAAAATTCCTGAAAATGTAACCACTGGCCTTTGTGAGCTGGTAAGAGCTTGTCCCAGTGTGTCACCCCAGGGCGACTGTGGGCAATAAATAATTTCATGCCTTCAAAATGCTCAGTGAACCTGGCAAGTCGAGTGAGCCTTCCATACATGTGAACTAATTTTCTTAATTACTGTTGTTGTTCTTAATTGGAACTTGGGCTCCAGAAGTCAGGATTTGGGCATATTTTCCACTAGATTGTCACCTGAGGACAAGGTCCTGCTCTGCAACCATTCTTTCTGCTTTGATTGCTAGCCCAGGGCCTGGAGCTGAGAGTTCTCCTACTTGGCCTGGGTGGAAGTTATTTCACTTGGTTGACCTGGGGCTACACCTGGATCCTACCCAGCACCCCTAGTCACAGATGCTGTCCAGCAGGCCCATTGTCTTTCCCTGGGCTTCTCTGGAAATCTCACAGGCAGGGTGCATGTGAGGAGCTCCACTCCCCAGGTGCTTACCCAGGACAGAGCAGGTGTTCTCCTTGGGGTGCTGCCTGAGGCTTCCTCCTCAAAGAGTGCAGGCTGTGTACAAGCTTAACCACAGTCACACTGGGGCCAAAGTGTTTGCAGAGGCAGCTCGTTGCCCTTCTCCCAGCTGAGCCCCATGGATCTGGCGCTGTGGTGCAGAGAAGGCCATGAACTTGAGGATCTTATCCCCACCAAGTCCTGTGGAGGGAGGAAGAGAAATTTACATGAGGCGGGAGGCAGAGAAATTTTCTCAGTTTGATGAAAGTAGGATGAATGTTGCTTCTTTGATCCACAAGCATTTATTAAGCATGGACCGGTGGGCCAGGATGGCACTGGTTCTCGGTAGTGTTTGCTTTCAGGGAAATTTCATGACTGAGGGGTGAATGTGAAGGAAGGAAGCCATTAAAGAGGGCACACATTCATGGCAAAGGGGCTCAAGCCCTCTAGGACTCCCTAAGGAACCACGGCATTTCATAGAACTTTCCAAAAAAAAAAAAAAATTCCCCCTCCCAAGGACAGGCCATTCCTCTGTCACATCTGTCATGCAGCTCCCATTTGTGCCTGCTGCTGTCTCCTGGGGGCATCAGCCCCTCTGCTTTTGGCCTTGGCTGCAGGTGAGCTGAGGGGTGGGTACCAGGGCTCAGAGGACCCTTGAGCCAGAGGTGAGGTGTCATCACTGTACACCTGCAGTGGGACACAGGGAGCAGGTATTAACCTGTCCCCAACTGTGCTGCTACCCAGCGGACCAAAGGAAGGTGTTTGCTAAGGAGTCAGAGAAAGCAAGTTCTGGGGAGAGAGAGAGGTCGAGTCCCCTGCTGCAGAGAAGCCCTGGGTGCAAGTCCAGAGAATGCCTTAGGTTTGCATGAAGACCTGTGGGTGGCGTCAGAGCCAGAGAGACAGAGTCGAGCCAGGCTGTACTGGGGTTACACACCAAGGGATCAGGAAGAGGCAGAGGCAGAGGCAATGGCATAGGGAGCCTTTTCTGAATCTTTAGCCGAAGGGAACAAATATGATGATAACTGATGGAAGAGGCAGAGTGGAGAACATACCAAAGGGCATAGTGAGTCTGTGGGTCAAGGCTGATAGAGAAACTTTAGTGAGCTCATTCCAAGCAACCTTTCCTTCATTGTTTTTACCTGTGTGAAGGCAGAAAGAGAAGTTGTCCTTTGGTAGAGGCCTCCTGGGATTCTGAGAGGAGCACAGGCTCCTGAGAGGGATGATTTGGAATCCTGGCTCTGCCTGCTAGATGTGGCCGAAGGATGTGATGACTTGGAGCTTCAGTGTCATCATCTGTCCTCTGAGGACAACACTTCTCTCCCACATTGGTTTTGGGCTTTGGTGTGGAAAAAGTTGTTGGGGGAAGGGACACCCATGAGGTGCGTGGCCCAGGCACTGGCAGAAGTGCATGCAGCTATAGCACCAGTGAGGTTTGATGCGTGGCAGGAAGTGAGGCAGGAAAAGCCAACATGGCCAGCATGCTGATGAGTTGATCCATCCTGGGCTCTAGGCTGTTGGCCCCTCCCTGTGCGCAGTACCTCAGTTCTGATCCTGCCAGAAAAGTGTGAACTGAATCACAGCTTAGGTACTGGTGCTCCACCCTCCAAACAGACAGGGGTGGATCTGGTACCCTTTCTGGTGGTGGTGTTGTCATGTTCATGGTGCTTGTTGACGTGGGTTCCAGGTGGATCTGAGGTTGATTGGACTGGCCATATGAGATGTTTTATGGAACACTAGAACAGCTCCCCGGATGTTTCTGTCCTTGAATCTGGATGAGCTACCCAGGACCAGTGCTTTTGCAGGGCCTTCTTCCAAGTTTACAGAAAATGAGTAACTGGCCCTAGTTTGCATCTCTCTCTTGGGTGAAAATTCACCCAAGAATGGCTGGCAAGATGATTTTTCCCTTTTGTAAAATAACAGTGTTATTAAGATATTATTTATATACCATACAATTTGCCCATCAAAATTGTATAAATCAATGGTTCTGATCATATATAGGGTTGTGTGACAATCTCCACAGTTGACTTTTGAACATTTTGTCATCCAAAAAGAAATCCTGTACCCTTCACTATTACCACTCTAACTCCTAAGCAATCACTAATTTATGTTTCTTTTCATCTTAAGTCTGAGGTCCATTGTTCTGGACATTCATATGACTAGTATCATATAATTTGTTGTTTTTTTGTGGTGACTGACTTCTTTTATTTAGTATAATGTTCTCATGATTCACCCAAGTGGAAGCACAAATGAGTACACCATTTCTTTTCTTGCCTAAAACATTCAGTTGTTGGCATTTATCACATTTGTTCATGTATTTTTCCAGTGATGGTCGTTTAGGTGGTTTCTACCTTTTGATTATTATGAACAATATCGCCCATGAATGTACAAGTTTTTTGTGCAGGCATATTTTTATTTCTCTCAAATACAGAGGTTCCTGAGTCCATGAATGCTTCTTTTTGGGGAATAATTTGGTTCACCAACAGAAGAATTTGGTCAAATTTTGCTTCCATTTGCAAACTCCATATCAGGTGACAAACATGACTGTGGTCTTCTTACCTGTTTGAACATGTGGAACAGGAAGAAGATGGTTTGAAATGCGGCCATTTCCCCAGAATTGTAGGATGAATTAAGTCCTTGAACTGAGGTACCGCCTTGAACTGAGGTATCCAGGAGTGCAATTGCAGGGTCATTAGTTAATTATACGTCTAATCATTTAAAGAACAGTCCTATTGTCTTCCAAACTAACAATACCATTTTCTACACTTGCCAACAGTATATTAAGGTTTCCTTTCTTCTACATGTTTGCAAACTATTGTTATTTGATTTTTTTTGATTCTAACTTTCCAGATGGATATGAGGTGGCATTTCACTGTGGCTTTTGATTTATATTTCCCTGATGGGTAAAGATATTAAGCATATTTTCATGTGCTTATTGACCATTTATTCAAGTTTTTGGAAAAATTTTCATTCAGGATCCTTTGTCCATTTTTAATTGGATTATTTGCCATTTTAGTTTTGAGTCATATGAGTTCTTTATATATGCCATATACAAGCTCCTTATCAGATGTGTGACTTGCATGTTTTGCCTCCTGTTTATTGGGTTGGCTTTTTACTTTCTTGATCATATTCTTTGAAGTTAAAAGTTCTACATTTTAATAAAGTTCAATTTTTCTATTTTTAATTTTGTTGGCTGTACAGTAGAGGTCACATCTAAAAAACTATTATCCAATCCAAAACTGTAAAAATTACCCCTCTATTTTCTTCTAGGAGTTTTATATTTTGAGTTTTGATACACTTTTAGGAATTTTTTGCATATGGTGTGTGATATGGGAATCCAATTTTGTTCTTTGCATGTTGTCCCAGAACCATTTTGTTGAAAAGACTATTATTTCTCCCATTGAATCTTTTAGCACCCTTGCCACAGATGAATTGACTGTAAATGTGGAAATTTATTTCTGGATTCTCAATTTTATTCAATTAATCTACATGTTTGTTCTTATGCCAGTACCACACTGTCTTGATTACTGTAACTTGGAAGTAAGTTTTGAAATCAGGAAGTGTAAGTCCTCCAACTTTGGCTATTCTAGGTCTCTTGAATTTCTGGATGAATTTTGGGACCAGCCTGTCCACCCCTCAAAGAAGCCAGCTGGATTTTGTTAGGAATTTCACCATATCTGTAGATCAAATAGGAAGCATTTCTACCTCGGTGATACTAAGTCTTCTGATCTTTGAACATATGCTTTCTTCCTGTTTATTTACATTTTTCATTTCCTTCAGCAGTTTTATATTTCAGAATATAAGTCTCGTACTTCTTTTTTTAAAAAATATATTCCTAGCTATTCTTTCTGATGCCGCTATAAATGCAATTTCTTCATTTCATTGTCAGATTGGTCACCAGAAGGTAATTTTTTTCTGTGGGATCACACACAGGGGCATGATTGAAAGGTGCTGACATCCTGATTTTGAATGACTCACATCATTTACACAGACCAGAACTTCACAAATAAGATCTGTAGTACGCACACTAGGGGCATCCGAGTTCCTTCTAATTCTGAGCTATCATTTTATTACAATGGTTTACTTATTGATTGACTTGTGGCGGGTCCCCTATGGGCAGACCCTGTTTTAGGAGTAAAAGGACATCATAGGATAAGGCATAGCTTTTGCCTGTATGGGACATGTGTTCTCATTGGGAAGACAGTGAAGTCAGCAGTTAACTAAATACCTTGTGGATTTCATGCAGTCACAAGTATTTTAGGAGAAAAAGAATTAGTCTTTGAATAGAATGTTCAGGGAACACAAAGTTAGATTTAATGGGATGCTGGAGAAGCATCTCTAAGAGGCGATGTGGGGATAGAGCAAAGTGCAGGGTGAGCCCAGTGGAGAATCAGAGGAGGAGAACGACAAGTGTGGAAAGGTCCAAAGGACACAGCAAGCTGGTGTGCTAAGGCAAAAACTGGACAGGGACTCTGGACAGGGAGAGAAGCTGAGGAGTCAGCATGGCCCGGGCTGCAGGGCCGGGTGGGCTGCAGAAGCGCTGTGCCTCTTATCCTGAGCATGACACAATGTCACTGAGAGCTTTGGGAAAGAGGGTACATGATCACCAGCAGCAGCAGTGGTGAAGGAAGTGGCTCGAAGGTCTAGGAGTAAAAAGCACATTTCAGGGTGACCCTGCATGTACCCAGGCTCTGGGAGGGAAAAATACCCAGGCAATGGCAGAAACAGGTGTACAGAGCCAGTTCCCCAACTCAGCTCCTGTGAGCTGCTTGGGGAAGCAAGATAAGATTCCTGAGGGAGTCAAGTCCCAAGGAGGGCTGTTCTGCTCTCTAGTTGTATCGTGGTCTCTCCAGAAGGTGGCACCAGTTAAGTCCACACTGAAAACCAAGGCTGGGGAACCCTAGATTGGAACTTTGGCTCCAACATTGACTAGGGCATGAGCTCAGGGATAAGTCACCTTCTATCTTAGTTTCTTTTTAAACAAAATACCTGCCATGCAAAATTAAGGGAGGAAAGGTTTATTTAGTTCACAGTTTGTGCTGATTTCAGTCCAAAATCAGTTGGCTCCTATGCAGGGTGGTGGCGTGCCAGAGGAGCAGCAGCTCTTGGCTATGGAAGACAGCAAAAGCAAGATGAACACAAGAGGTAAGTAAGCCTCTTTCCCTGTTGGGAGCCGCAGCCCCGAGCCCGGTCGCCTCACTTGG